TAAAATTGATACCTTTAATTTTAGAAGGAATAACCTGTGCTATTCTACCTAGTGGCATTGTGAAAGATTAAATCCCTTTTGAATATGCACAGTAATAAAAGTCGGAAAGAAAAAGAATAAGAATACAACGCATGTCTTCTTTTCCTCATATATAACGTGTGAAATGCAAATTTTAGATAAATGCATTATTAATATTTGTTAATTCATAAATATACAACCATCAAATGTCTTATTCCTGGCTTTGAAAAGACGCTTTCGAATGTGACGTGGGGTTTGGTGGTTCAAAAGCTTTATGGTCCTATTCTTTCCCCAATATTAATTTAGAAACGAATGCAAACAGTGATAGTAGTCAATAGATAAAACACGACATAGAATAACCAATTATAAAGATCCAGGTGTATGCGATTATCACATACAAAAAGGAACATTAGGAGATAATTAAAATGATAAAATGCTGACTATAAGTTTTGCGATTTTCTCATTGTTAAAGGTCGTACGCTGGACCTATAATTGCTTATATCCACGTCATTTAAACTCTGGTGGATAGTTGTCTCATTGGCAATCATACCACATCTCCCTATTTTTATATTACTTTGAACTTACTTTTTCATTAGATTATATCCTTTCAAAATGAGACTAGTGAGAGATAATTATAGTTTAAAACAGTATTATTTGGCGTTTAAGTGTTTTGTAAATATCATTTCATAATTCTAACGGTGCACTTTAATGCGAAATGCAGCGTATCAAAATTGATTCGAGACGAAAAAATCAATTTACTAATGACTAATACAATCTGAAATCATCGGGAATAGCACGGAACCAACACTGGAGTTAAGACCATGCGAGTCAATATGGTTAACAATAAACTCATCATAGATACCAGGCTTAAAATGTTGTACATCAGACGCGTTTCTTCTACAGAAGACTCATCCGTGACGCTTAAATAAAACAGTTAAAAGACCAAATAGAGTAGTTTTTTTATATTTGAACACAACAGTAGAATAGTACAAGATTATGTCGGATTTGTGACAAGATGAGACAGCATGTGAAAAGTGACAAACGCTTAGGGGGGGAGCATCTAAAAACACTGAGATGCATGGAGAATCCGAAATAAGAAAAAAAGACATCATGAAGATCGGATGACTCAACAAGTGAACCACTAAAACATATGGATATGATGCAAGAGTGCGAATGTCGAGTTCATTGGATATATTGAATGCGAATGTGTATGCTGCAGTGAGGATCGCCTTGTCTAAAAGTTAATAATCCTATCTGAAAGTAAAGTTAAAAGATAAAAATTGAGAAACAGTTTTTCTTTTTATTCCCACCTTTATTTATCCTGTAGAAACTTTGAAATAAATGTTTTGTTTCTAAAATATGTATTGTAAAAAACATCTATTAACTTGGAAATCAGTATTATCAGATCTCACAAATTACTACCCCGAATCCCATATATGCCACGTGAAGACAGAGTATCACGCTCTGTGTACTTTAAAGAACTCTTGCAACAACTCTCTGAGGGGTCGAGTAAGTGGCTTGTTGCAAGGCAAACTTTCTGTCCCAATCCAACTTAACATTGTGTCACAGTGGAAAAATGGACAAATATTTCATTGTTTGGAAACTATTTGTTTAGAAGTACCTTTTTCTATTTTCATTGGTCAAAACGCTTCTATGATCATGTTTTATAAAGGTTAATTTTGAAACCAAAGAGAGGGAGAGAGAAAAAAAAAGAGAGAACCATGTGACGCATCGGTTCGCCCCGCTCTCGATCTGCGAGTAGCGGCGGGTTAATGTATGTTGCCATGATTACTGTTTTGTAAATATGCTTTATGAACTGTGATTGTATATATGTTGGATGGAAAAATAAAGTATGTGAACGTTCATGTATCCAGTCTCGTGTATTGATTTACAACAACTTCCCAGTATGGACCCTCTGCCATCTGAAACGGGCCTAAATCATTTGGATTGTAAAACAATGTTATTCATCTCCGATGTTGGAGAAATTCTAGTCACGTCAATTGTTTTCCATTGGCAGTCCAAATTTCCCGACCTCCATCCCTGTAGTCCCGTCTTGCAGAAGCTACCTTTTGTATATATAATAGATTTTCGTCCTGAATATGCATAAAATAATTGCCATCGGACGTAAAGGGAAATGCGGCAACAAAATACTTATCCACAGATAAGGTTAGGTCCATGTGTTTGTCGTGTGGAATTAAAAATAATCAATTAGATCAAATCAAAAATACAACATTAAATATGGAAGTTTTTTTTAAAGTTTCAGTTAAACCAGTAACAGGCTTATGAGTACTTAGTTGTGGTTAAGAGCGATAGGACGAATGAACGAACACACTATACTCTCACGCTTTACTGCCACGAGGGTATGATTAAGCAAATTATGAAAAGTTACAATTGTTAAAGAAAAACTCCGATAGCGTTATAACACTTCAGTCATAGTTCTAAATAATATGTAAAATGACAGACAATCCAAGTATATTCTACTTATAGGTCAGTTCATGACATCTTTCACCATACTATAAAATAATTATCTTAGATAAATATTTTCCAGCCTATATAATATTCCCATAAGGCAGAATAGACATCATTTACCAATTTACCAATGCTGTAAATGCAATTTATTCTTTTTATATTATTGATAAGGCTGGGAAGAATCATAAAAATATTGAATTAATGCAATTTTGAACAATATGTATGGCACAGAAGCTAAATGTAATTTGATGAGTTTATAGATGTTGACCGTCAAAGGGAACACTTAGAGATACAGTTATTCCATACTAAAACCTAAAACTCGTTATAACATTCGGTAAAGTACATTCTAATGTTCTCATCTTAAGAAAGTCCATTTTGGAGACGTTACGTCCAGGAAAACAACAATTCTTTAAAATGACTTAAAATCTACTTTGCCCACAATTGTAAAAAGTGACAGATAGTAATTTGCTGAATATGCGATGTGTAAATCAATACACTAGATATAAGTTATCGTACAAAACGATTGCTAACGTAACAGTAACAAAATTAGTTAAAAAAAGAAAAATAACATAAAAGGTTTGAAATCTACATTTATTTTCAAATCTTATTAAACAAATCACATGAAATATTTCAGCTGTGTTTGATAACGAGTAGGGAACACATATATCCGGATATTGCATACACGGTAGGGTTTAGTCACCAGTCTCTTTAGAAAAATAAGGTCAGCTCACACTTTAAAAAAAAAGTTATAGTAATCTTTTGCTAAGTGTTATATATCAAAGTTTGATAAGAATTACAAAATAGATTCTATGTTAATAAATAAAAATTCCCAAGTTGACAAGCTTATCCGTCGAAAATTTCGAAAGAATCGGATTCTGATTAGCATTCTGTTTTTGTGGCAATCAGCCTTTATTCTGATTCCATCAATCAGACACGACTTTAGTTTGTAATTTAGCATTGATCTCTTCTATCCTATAGAGACATGTACGGTAACCTTGTGCTGAGAATGTAAGAAGTGATTTGATCTGGGTAAGATATCGGAATCTATCTTAGTCACGAATATCTCTATATAAACTTCCGTGTCAAACTTTTCTTAGATAATGTTATAGATTGTTGCTAAAACATATGTAAAGAAAAGTAAATTTAGTAGAAGATTGATTTTCATTGATAGAAGCGGTACAACAGGTGCGATGTAATAGTAATTGATTGGTAAATTAACAGCTGATATGAAGAGAAACCAGCAACAAAATCGTCTTACGTAACAATAAAATTACCCATTAATCTTGTGTTCGTATGTTTTCTTATAATCTATAATTTCAGTTCAAACCTTACGTTTTATTTATACAAACCAAAGTCATGTGGATAGGTAGACATTGGGTGTATTAATTGTAAATATGACTGGGTATGTGAAAAGAAAGCCTAATGTTTACTTTTGTAAATAACGTCTGGAGACAATAAATCTGTGTAGAAATCGAGATTTATAAATTATGAATAAGTAATGTCTCTCGTTCAATATATCATGAAATATTATCACATGTTTTGTGTTCATGGCATAATTCCAGTTATATGTATCTAAACACAATGCAAAATTATTAAAAATGTAAAAGCATGTTTAAAAATTCCCAATAAAGTCACGATTCAGCTCTTGAAAACTGATCTACGGACAAAAGGAGTTAAAATATTTTTCAATACAGTATTTCAAAATCACGTTTTTGACGATGTTTTCCGGAATTTCTGAAGAGGGATAAAAGGGTTTCCACTTTTTGACATTGGTGAAAGTGAAAAATAAATCGCAATTTTTAAAACGTCCATGCATTAACCATACCGGTATATGTTTGTTCATAAAATGGGGATGGGGTTGAATCCTCTAACTCAAACACTGTTGTATACATCTAATCATACTTTAGTAATCAAATTATTTCAAATCTATAATTATCCCGTAATGTCAAGACCCACATATCTTTACCATTTTCATTAAAAGACCACAACATCAATAAATACACGACTGTATCATGTGTATTACTAGAGTAAAGGTTTGAATGATTTAAGATTTTTTTCAAACTGCAAGATTCTTAAATTAGAATACTTATACTTACATTCAAATGATATGGTCAAAATTTTCAACTACTCCTCCTTGCATTATGTACATATTTGTAGAATGTTATATTTATCGAGAAAGATTTTAAACTATAGATTAAACAATATCTTGATATTATACCCATCAATCATATATACTATGTATACCCATGACTATTTTAAATTCATTTACATATACAATTTAGTATAAATTATAACATTAATCACAATTAAATAACCATGCAACATACGCCTTCCTTACGTCATGGTACTGGCTTTAAAATTTAATATTTTGAACAGATGGTTTTGTATTACTGAAAACATAAAAACGCTTTTATCTTGAAAAAAAAAGTTGATGGACAAAAAGTAAGCACTATAAGCACTTAACGATGGTAAGAACTGTATTTGTCATTATTAGACGGCTATAAAACACTTACCTAAAGAAGAATGTCCGTAACAAAATAATCACGTCTATATTCATAGATCAATAAGTAAGTAAGTACAATAATTTCTTTATACTTCTAGTCAATATCACTTTAATCATTGACAATAGCCGTAGTCAGCTCCATTCATACATACATTTTTGTTGAGCAACTTCTTCAAAAGGCTATATCTGAATTGAAACGTGTTAATGTCATCTTAAACAGTCTAATTTGTTGATCAATAATTCCTGTTATGAAAGTGGAATATTACCACCACGTGTGGAACCTGCATATGAAGAAATATTACCACGTATGGAACCTGGAAATGATTCGGTCCATGTTACAGCAGCTGTCGTCTTTACTAAAGTTCACTGCTCATTACATAAAATAAATCAATCACTGCGTGAAGTATTAATATATGGATTCCTATTCCTTGCATATCATAAACGAAGACAAAAATAAAACAATAAAAATAGTATAGTGTGAATTATACTGAATTAATCAGCATTGATAATTATCTCAATGAAAACTGATGAAAGTATCAGTAGCTCTTCTCAGTTGTTGGCTTATGTCATGTTTTGTCTCATAATTAAAAATAAATAAAAACATGTTGATACAACAACATACAAAACACGATTAACCTTTAAAAAGGACATCTTCCGGACAACACAAGGTCCTCAATGATATACGATGTTCTTGTCATATTTCAAGTTCCCAATCGAGTGGCGACATTGAAAATATGTAATGAAGCAGACGACATCTCCGGTACCAGACATTTTTTAATTGGCCTAGTCAAATTTTGAAAGTAGCTTCCATTAATGTTAAGAAACTCAAAGTTCAATATGAAAACAACGCCTTATTAAACGAGCAACTGAAAAGTTTTAAAAAATAGCAAAAGCAAACAACAGATGTTGACATAAATAAGATTAAAACGATAAGGGTTGGTTATATAATAAAGTGTCCTTGATATGCAGATAAACATAAAGCTTAATATATGCAAAAGCTAAATGTAGTGTGATTGCTAATGTAAATTTTACATGTAATAATTCTTTTCGGCCATGCTGTATGTTTTTAATAGACTTACGGTTTCGATAGCCCCTTTGGTATCTTTCTTTTTAATTATCTATATTATACTTTTTTTCAATCCGACAATTCTACTGCCCACTAGAGGCAAATCAATCATGCGACAATATAGGCCACATAAACAACATATAAATTGATTGATGTATTAAAAGAACAATTTAGATATCAAACTTTTCATTAAACAGGATGTATAAAACTGCTATTTTAGTCTAGTTTTGCCACAACAATACATAACTGTTAATGAAAAATTGGAAATGATATTTAATTATATCACGAATAACACTTTGGGACTATTTATAGTATACTAATAATAAAGTAGAAATATGCAGATACGGCAAATGTGACATGGAATTTTTTCTAGAACACTAAAAAGGTTGAAAGGTACAAAATCGGTATAACTTCCGTGCTAGTTTTGACGATCATTTACCTCTGATGACAGTCATTTGTTATTAGCTTGAATTCAATTACATCTGGAAAGAAAATTTAAATAATAGAAATAGCACATAATAAGAAATTACATATGCACAAATCAAAAAATTTACCTCTTATCAGTGGTCTTTTGATTGAGTTAAGCCATTTCAATTGATATTTTATAGTGTGTCTTTCTATGTTGTGATGTTACACTATTGTTTCAGATAAAGGTGAAGGTTTGGTACCATTAAAACGTTTAAACCCCCTGCAATTGTTTGCACCTATCCTAAGTCAGGAATCTGATGTTCAGTAGTTGTCGTTTGTTGATGTGGTTCACGAGTGTTTCTCGTTTCTCGTTTTTTATATAGATTAGACCGTTTGTTTTCCCGTTTGAATGGTTTTACACTATTAATTTGTGGGGCCCTTTATAGCTCTGTTCGGTGTGAGCCCAGGCTCCGTGTTGAAGACCGTACTTTGACCTATAATGGTTTACTTTTATAAATTTTGACTTGGATGGAGAGTTGTCTCATTGGCACTCATACCACATCTTCTTATATCTATAACTGTACTGAAACTTCTTATAATGTAACTGTAATATTACTCCCGTGTGTTTTGTGAATTGGCATTCCTAAACGATTTGATGCTGAGATTCTCAAAGAACACTCGTCTTGTCTTGGCACTACGTAAAACGACATAGGACATTATTTTATTAAGACTTTGATGATTTCTGTTTTTTTCCCCTGAAATTTTGAAAAAGGGGAATGATACCAAAGGGGGGGGGGGGGGGCAATAAAAACTATAAGAAAAATGGCAGACAACACCATGACAAAAGCAAATCAGACATACATTGTACAACAATTCACAAAATACACAGAAAACTTAAAATTTAGCAACACGAACTCCTACCCCAAAATATCTGGGCCTAAACTCAGGTGTTCCAGTTTAAGTGTAATTAGTTACTGCTCCTCTATTGACACCCGATGACAGGCCCCATTCGATGATGTCATTAACGATGATATTAGGACGGATTGTGGCTACGGCAAGCTTTTGACTATTGTTAACTGGAAGATATTCTATATGTATATGCTGCTGGACAATGAAAATAATGTCGTAAAATTTAGTTTTAAACCTACCATCACTGTACAGCCGACAGATAAGGTTAGCTCTGCGTCATACATTGACTTTCATCTATAGAAATCTATATACAGAAAAGGTCCAACGAGGATAAACTTTACGACTTTCAATTTTCACTTTGTGAACTTTCTATATATGTGTAGAAACATTCCTGCATACCTTTATATTGAGTTAATTTCCCAGCTGAACGATGTTCATGAGCTTCCTATCAGTGTGTTCTTAATAGACGGTTTCTGCTAATGTCAAGCTATAGTGAACCGTAGAAGAAAAATTAGAGCAAACATCCAAAGTTTAACCATAACTTGTTTGACCGCTACGGAAAATGTGTGTCAAAGATGCCAACATATGTGTTATCTTTGTAATATTACTTATTATTTCATTCTTTTTAGCGAAAAAGTAAAAGTACATTTACATCTGGCACTTAAAATCAATTATGTGTCATTACTAGTTTACATAAAGCATATAACGATGCATCCTTTTATTTCAATTGAAATAACTAAAATCCTGCATTCTTAATGGCTATATTAAATTATTAGAAATATTTAAAATGAAATTGCATTCCAAATGAATTAAAATGATCAATCTAAATGTGCATGTTCCCTTCTTTTATCGTCGTTCTTTGTTCAGGAACATGGTGCATTTCAATAAATCTCTTATAGATGAATTCCTCAGACACTATAAACAGCATCATTCTAAAAGTCATATAGTATACAAAGAGGTAAAGCAGTATTGTTATCGTATAGTAAAAATGCTGTTGAAATTTCAACATTTGACTTTAGATAACTGAGTGTATAGTCGTTCCTTTGATGAAATGGGGTATTAAATCGACGGCTTCATAAATATCACAAGTACAGATATGAGCAGACAAAAAAGTCGAAAATAATCTAGTTAGATCAATCTTTAACTACATAATGAACATTCGTAAAAAGATTTAGATCTGAATTATAACCAACAAAATAACTTGATAAAAAAATGACAGCGACCTGGCACTAGATGATTATTTCACGTATTGAAATTTCTGATTCAATGGCCAACGTTGATGTTAAAGTAAAGAACAAATCATACTTTGTAAAAACCATTTTTATGGCCTCGCCACTTTTTTTCTAAACGCCTTCACATATTGAACTGATTTTTAGTATGTGAGTCTACTATGATGAGTTATAGACCAAATTTACGTTTGGTTCCGTTCCGCTGATTTTTGCAGAATTTACGGGCTTTGGACTTTGAAAATTTCAATCCGACAATTCTACTGCCCACTAGAGGCAAATCAATCATGCGACAATATAGGCCACATAAACAACATATAAATTGATTGATGTATTAAAAGAACAATTTAGATATCAAACTTTTCATTAAACAGGATGTATAAAACTGCTATTTTAGTCTAGTTTTGCCACAACAATACATAACTGTTAATGAAAAATTGGAAATGATATTTAATTATATCACGAATAACACTTTGGGACTATTTATAGTATACTAATAATAAAGTAGAAATATGCAGATACGGCAAATGTGACATGGAATTTTTTCTAGAACACTAAAAAGGTTGAAAGGTACAAAATCGGTATAACTTCCGTGCTAGTTTTGACGATCATTTACCTCTGATGACAGTCATTTGTTATTAGCTTGAATTCAATTACATCTGGAAAGAAAATTTAAATAATAGAAATAGCACATAATAAGAAATTACATATGCACAAATCAAAAAATTTACCTCTTATCAGTGGTCTTTTGATTGAGTTAAGCCATTTCAATTGATATTTTATAGTGTGTCTTTCTATGTTGTGATGTTACACTATTGTTTCAGATAAAGGTGAAGGTTTGGTACCATTAAAACGTTTAAACCCCCTGCAATTGTTTGCACCTATCCTAAGTCAGGAATCTGATGTTCAGTAGTTGTCGTTTGTTGATGTGGTTCACGAGTGTTTCTCGTTTCTCGTTTTTTATATAGATTAGACCGTTTGTTTTCCCGTTTGAATGGTTTTACACTATTAATTTGTGGGGCCCTTTATAGCTCTGTTCGGTGTGAGCCCAGGCTCCGTGTTGAAGACCGTACTTTGACCTATAATGGTTTACTTTTATAAATTTTGACTTGGATGGAGAGTTGTCTCATTGGCACTCATACCACATCTTCTTATATCTATAACTGTACTGAAACTTCTTATAATGTAACTGTAATATTACTCCCGTGTGTTTTGTGAATTGGCATTCCTAAACGATTTGATGCTGAGATTCTCAAAGAACACTCGTCTTGTCTTGGCACTACGTAAAACGACATAGGACATTATTTTATTAAGACTTTGATGATTTCTGTTTTTTTCCCCTGAAATTTTGAAAAAGGGGAATGATACCAAAGGGGGGGGGGGCAATAAAAACTATAAGAAAAATGGCAGACAACACCATGACAAAAGCAAATCAGACATACATTGTACAACAATTCACAAAATACACAGAAAACTTAAAATTTAGCAACACGAACTCCTACCCCAAAATATCTGGGCCTAAACTCAGGTGTTCCAGTTTAAGTGTAATTAGTTACTGCTCCTCTATTGACACCCGATGACAGGCCCCATTCGATGATGTCATTAACGATGATATTAGGACGGATTGTGGCTACGGCAAGCTTTTGACTATTGTTAACTGGAAGATATTCTATATGTATATGCTGCTGGACAATGAAAATAATGTCGTAAAATTTAGTTTTAAACCTACCATCACTGTACAGCCGACAGATAAGGTTAGCTCTGCGTCATACATTGACTTTCATCTATAGAAATCTA